AAGGCGGATGCGTTTCAGATCGATCGAGGATAGGATTAAAAATCCTCTCGACCATGAACTACAATCGGCCGAATAAACTACGATCGATTGAATTTCTATGGTTTCATTGTGCCTGTACTCTTCTTTAAATCGTTGCAGCATTATTCGTTCCGCTATGAATCAAAGAAAAAAAAATTGAATTAAAGAAAAAAAAAAAAAAAGAAGGACAAGGTTGAATCTTCTGTTCGGTAGAAATTACATTTCAGACATGTGTTTGTGGTGAAGGACGAAATAAATAATCGTTTGTATTTCCCGTCTCATCATCATGAGATGATTCTCAAAGTATCTGTTTTACGAACACTTCAAGAGGTTGCTGAGAGGTTGTTCAGTGATCTGGTGCCAGATTGTGCGAAGAGGGTATGAAAACAGAATTAATCCGTAAAATATAATGATGTTAGATTGGTATTTGAAGGGTTTCATGAGTGAAAGTTTTGCGTAAAGTTTGTATAATTATCGCAAACAATAATTTTTCTTCTTTTCTTCTAATATTGAACAATAATAATATATTTGAGTCTATTAATATTTAAGATAAATTATGAAATGAAAGAAAATATTTGGAGGTAAAATTTTGTTCATTTCCATCGTAGAGAAGAAATATGTCTTTCTTTCATGATAGCTTTTCAGAAAATCAAGAACTATAAAAGTATAAGATACTGTAAAAGTGTAAAATGCATTAGATAACAAATGAAACGTCTCTTATCTCTCCGAATGGTACACGTATGTTTGTAATATTTGTATAACGTACGTGTAAATAATGAAATGACACATGACAATAAGGATCATTGATAAGAATGTGGAATTCTACGTTATTATTAATATTACTGAGAAGCAACATACAAATACATTTGGCTAAGTCTTTATTTCTCAAAATATCAAAGTAGTATTATTCGCTCAAAAATGTGCAGAAGAGGAAAATATACAAATGTCGAGCATTTGAATTGAAAACAATTTAAGATTCTCAATTTATAATGGCTTAATTTATCAGACCTTGAAAATGTTTCCGTATATTTTTCCACGGTAGTAAAATGGTCGAGAAATTAGAGGAACAGCTGGCTGTACCAGATTTGGATACAACTTAGGTTCTGTTTATCTTCTAATAAATTTATAACTATGTTGCTATTTCGGAACACGTTCAATGCTGTTTTATCAGTTTTTATAATTTTGTATAACTAGCAAGTGTGATTCTATTGGGTAAGAAAATAAATTGAAAGTATAAAATAAAATTCTTTTCGTAGAGTTATGTCACCAATGATGGAGCACCATATACACTGTTAGATGTAACTTGTAAATGAAAAAACGTTAGCAATAATTAACGTAGATTAATGGAGCGGATGGAAAATGCGAACATGTTCACTGTTGTCCACGATAAAGCATCTTGCGTTCAGTTTTTCAAAGATACCAGGAAAGATATCAATCCTATTGAGAAAGACAAGTGAACATGTCAAAATTTCTTTTTGCAAGATACTTTGCAAGAAAGTTGATTGATATCGATGATAATCCAAAGCTAAATATAAAATATTGCATGTGCTAGCTCTTTTGATTAAACAAACCATATCTAATCGTTTATTATGTTGTCTCAGATCCGCGAACAATAAAACTTCATTACAACTTTATTTCCTTTCATTTTTCATGAACCGACCAATTACTATTGAATGAACAATCTGTTGAGTAATTGATAAATTCTTTCATACGATAGGGATTTTCTATTTCTAGATAAAATGACAGAAGCAGAATAATCAAAATAAGCTAGAACAAACGTGCAAATTAAAAGTAGCAGTGTGGATTCTAATGACTGGAATAAAATTACTATTAGATTTCAATAAGCGTATAATGTAATGATAATGTCATTCTGATTTTTACAGGAACTTGGATCGCAACCATTGCCAACGATTGTAACAGAAGATGCAGATACCTCTGGTCAGGCTTCTCAAGATCAAGGTCATAGGCCACGCGCAGGTGAGGTGATCGTGTTTTATCATTTAATTAAATATCTTCGTTCATCACTAATGTTATTTACGTGTCGAACACGTTTTTTGTTTTTAATTACGACAGGAACATGGGGTTCGCATTCGAGAACTATCAGGAAACCGACCTCGGGAAGCGCTCCTGGTTCTGGAAAGTCGACTCCTCTTCCGCAACAGCCGGAACCTTCAAGTTCGTCAAGCTCGAGCAAAGGTGGCAGAAAAGCATCTGGCACGCGGTCTGGCTCCACCAGCCGCAGTAATAGCCGTAGCAATAGCGCGGAACGTAGAAGAAGCGGTGGCACTGTCGACGATACGGCCAGCCCCAGTAAAAAGCCAGCGATATTCGATGCGTTTAGACCGAGAAGTAAATCCGATGCTAGCAAGAGAAAGCCCAGTATTATAGCGAATATGAAGAGCGCTGTGCAGGTACAATAATAGCTCTGTTGCTCTTTAGTCAACGTCAATTGGCTGTTTGAGAAATGTACATGACACCCCCTTAATCTTTTGTTATTGAGCAACATTTATTTAGACTATTTAGAATTGTAAGTACAGTGGTGTGCAAAGGTTTTTTACTTTCTGCTCAAAAAGCACAAAGATATTTTAAAAAATTAAATTTTATACTTGTGGCAAAAAGGATAGTACGTAAAGTGAACCGTTAATTAGAGCAGCCAATTGATTTTGAATGAATAATGAATATATTTGTATGGAAGAAATCAAGGAAAGATTATGCCAATTGAACACTGTTTGATGTTCTGCAGCATTCATTGTACAGGGGCTCGCATGGGAGCTCGACTTCTGATGTGCGTACGGATAAGGATCATCATAGAGAGAATAAGGATCATAAGGAAGGTAGAGAACCTATGGGACGTCCTCGAGCCGGTTCAGAAAGTAGTAGAAATCCTGTTAGCAAAGTAATGGATCTCATTAGGCATAGAAGCCACAGTACTCTTAGTGCAGAAGATAAACGAAAAGCGGTGAGCAATTTAATTTTATATTATCTACATTTTTTAATGTTAAACCGTTCTAAGAACATAATGTTTTTGCTTCAAATTTGCAACGATGATTATCCTGTGTGTAGTTACCGACATAGTGTTTAAAACAGATGTCTACTTTATCATTATGATACTAACAGTTGATCGACTCGAGAAGACTCGTTCACAGATAAAGTACCTTATGATACATAAACATAATTACAAAATTAATATAAGCAAACATAATTCTCATTCGTTTGATGAAGAATATAAAAAATAGTTTGTATAATTAATTAATATTTCAATTGGTACTCAAAAAATTTACTTAATACAATATTTTTGTTTCATTATAGAATTTTATTTATTTTAAACTCTTTTCTGCGTTATTAATTTAAAATTATTAATTATGTACTCTATATAGAAAGAAAAGTTAATATTTTTGAAACCTTGAGTAAGAGAACTGAGAAAATTAGGACAAACTTCTTTCTCGTCATATTCATTACCGTTCCAGTCTTAAACGGAGAATTCAAAATTGCACCGTGCATCTCAGTGTTTCTGTTCTCGTCGGAGCATGACTTTTAGAAACGAATAACCACTGCTGGTTCGTCCCAACAATAGTATCTCAGGGAACAAAAGGACGATCTCTGAAAGCAGAGAACACGTGTTTTGACGTTGACGATATACGCCTTCATCTTTTCTTCACACAATTCGCCTAACTATAATGCTAGAAAATCGTGTTCCTTTTCACTGTTATTCTAATTTCACTCATACAACTTTTTGTTACTCTCACTCATAATTTTTAATTGCAACATAAAAGTTAATATTTAAGAAGACCTTAATTCAAATAAAAGTAACTAATCTTCGTTGCCACATGCATTCCAATAACAAAGATGCAGCTTTGCATAAAAGAAGAGGAATTGTTAGCTGAACGTTATAGCAGTCGTTCTTGTACCTAAGTCGTAAATAGCATCTGTTCAAACATTGAAGTCACTACTCGTGACTCCGTTACTGATTATTTTAGTAAATATCAGCGTACTTTTTCCTCGACGAAAGTCGAGTTTTGGACTCGAGAGATTCTCTTTAAATTTTTTTATTTGTCGTTAAAATTAACGTTGATACTCGAATCGGAATTAAAATATCTAGTTCTTTTTTTCCTGTCATAGATCTATTAATAGGATTTGTGACGAATAATTGCACGTTCGTTGATTATCATTTCGCAATTACATAGATTTCAATGAATATTCTCCCATTTTATGTAAACGCAGCGTGACCCTGAAATAATCTTTCTTAGATAATTTTCAGCGAAATTTCTTGTTTCAACGTTCTCGGTCGAGTGTCACATGACTCGTTAGCGCTGAAACCAGTTTCGTTTCTCCTACCGATCACAATACCGTGACAAATTTCGTCGTGCAATACTTATTTCTGATTCTTGTTGTTTCAGTTCTCTCGTGAAGGTAGCTTGTGGTAAATACGAACGTTTTAATTAATTCATTTCAAAATTATTATATATAAAATATTATATATTATATATTAAATATTATAAATTATTATACGTAAAACACATTGGTTTATTTCATATCGGATCTAATTTACTAAAAGTCGTACTAATTGTAAGTTTTTCAAAAATTTCGACCAATCTAAATCATCAAATCAGTTAATCCATATTACATTTACACTACATTAAATTTATCACGTTGCATTTGTAACATTAAGTTTAATTTTCGTGCAAATTCATATTCTCGGCGATTCACGATCGACGCGACTTGTTTTAAATTTAATCTGCTGGAATTTCAAACTCACGCTGGAATTTGACTTCTCCGCGGAAATTGAATTTAATTAATGAAAATCGTTGATTTACTTCGCCCCGGTTGGTTTAACAATAAAAATAGAGAAAATTATTCAGGAAAATACGTTGCCGATTACCAATGCAAATTTCGTATTGAAAGACTTTCTGTGAAACTGTTCATCGGATATTTATGCTTCAATTATGAAATGAATATATATATTTCTCCTATGCGAATGTATTTGAATATGAATATATTTCTCTCCGACCGGAGTTGACGTTTACCTAATTATAATTTCTCATTAACCACGGTTCAGTTCGATATGCAGAATTCACTGGACGGGTGGTTTGAGCGTGTAGAGAAAGAGCCTATGACGTTCAGATTTCGGTGGGAGTTACGCGTGTTTGTACATGTATGCTCGTGCATATGTAAGCAGGCTAAGCTTGTGTGTGGTCGCGCGTGCACGAGCACAGAGAACGGAGAAAAAGACGGATTCAAAGGCGGCGTTTTTCACTCAGTGAGCCACGGAACTTGCAACGTTGAAGGTGCTAGGAAAACGCGTGCACACGTTTCCTCAGTGCGCGTGTATTTTCTAAACCGATCCGAGTACTACGTTCTCGCTCGCGAGAATTCCATTTCCAATCTCATGGAAGGTTTGCAGTGTGTCGTACTGGTGAAATTTCCACAGTAATTCCCTTAAACCGTGATCACGTCACGTTTTCACTTGTTATGCAACAACCGTCTGCTCTTTCGATCAAAGATTTATACATCTTTTTCTTTTTCTTTTTTTTTTTTTTGTAGATCTGTGACTGCGAGGTAACAGGAAATTGAAAATTGGAATTTGGTTTTCAATTTGGTTAGCGAAGTTTAATTATTATTCTCAAGTGATGATCGGTATTTATATTGTAGTATGCACACACGTCGAAGTTATAAAGAGAATTGTGATTATTATCAAGGAAATTATAAAATTATTCCCTATTATTAGAATTATTCTAAAATTATTCACTATTGTTCCCTAGATTAATTAGAAAAGAGTTAGTTTTTTTTCTAGAATCAAAGAATATCGCTTTCAACGGGTATTCTTGATGCTCCAAAGCATGGGTATTCCAACAACTTCTCTTCAAAGAAATATCATTCAGTTGTACTTGCAACTGTATTTTTGTTATTTTAAATTCCGGCATTGCAAAAATTATAATTTTGTTTTGTTGTTGGCGCGTTGAATTCGTTCGGAAAATGATGTCATATTTATACTCGTCCTGCTCTACGATTGAACAAAAAGAATCGTATGGCCGCAGTTTTCTTAACTGCAACATAAAAGACGCTGAATGGTAATTTGCGGCCGTGAAGGATGTCTCGAGTTCATTGACGAAGCTCCTCCCCTATTGTTCGGTTACTTCGGTTCTTCTAAATTGAAAGCTGGCAGTTTTATACTACTCTCTTCTCTTCGTCCTCTCTTCTTTCACTTCTTTCGCCAATCCGAGTTTCAGACATAGTACTCCAACAACTTGCGAAAATACTCGTGTCGCCTTTAACGCTTAACTACGTAAACTCTTGCTACATTATAGTGTCTCACTCAGTTTAATAATTTGATTTATTCAATCGTTATGAAATCGTGTTATAAAAACCAATTACACTTGATGGTATAAATTTCTCTTTATTGCTTTGAAGTTGAAAACGTGGAATATACTGAATCTTCAAACCTGTTTCTTTGCGTATAATTAACGAAGACAGATCAATTAATTTCTAACAGAAACTGATGAATTCATTTCCACATAATGAGACCAATAATTCGAAATTAATTCATCTTTCACGATTTCAACACGAGATCTCAATTCTTCGTTAAATTGCGCCAGTAAAATGAAGATCTTGACTCCTTTCAAAGACGTGTGATCCACAATCGAAGATCAAAGATCGCTAACTAAGATTTCATAGCTTTTGAAAGCCGTTTATTCGCCGACAGAGGGACAGATGTGAAAAATTAACATGAGTAACGTTTATTTTCGTGCGTTGTGAAATGTTTACACTGCATTGAAATATGGAATGTATACGGCGTAGCGTAGGAATAATTTCGTCGCATCTTCGCTGTATTTGTCACGTTTAAATTGGATTCTGCAGCAAGTTTCTGGAAATATTTGGAACTTCTCTGCTTGACGACCTAGATCCATTGTCTTCAAAGTAAACTGTGCCGTGCATATCGTCGTCTTCTTCTTCTTCTTCTTTTTCTTTCTTTTTTTCCAGGCGCCTTATGAAAGTGATAACCAGTGTAAATTGCGGCGATTATTAGAGCGAGACAGGCCAATCATTTGCATAATGTTAATGCCTGTGCATATCTGATCGGATGATCGTCGATATTTCTTTATTTCTTTTGCTCTTTACTTTGTAAATTTGCCTATTAGACACAACCAGATAAGCTATATATAGGTGCTGTATCCATGTAGTATGTTGCCTTGTTACTTATTACTTTCCATCATCAGTTTAACTCGATAGTATAGTATTGCAGAATTACAATATCGTAGCATTACAAATACTGTTAGTTTTAAAAATTTTTTATAAAAGCTGTAGGTAGAAGAAATGTATTTTTATGACGTCAGTGGCAAAAAATAGAAAATACAAATTGAAAGAATCGCCTAATTCTTAATTGGTTAATGAAATAAGTATTATGTATAACATAATTATGTTTTGTGCCATTGGTAATGCAATTTCAATTACATTATATTTCTTCAGATCTCTTGGTGGTTACAAAAAGCATGGGTGCTTACAAAAAGCATGGGAGAGGTGGCAAAAATATATTGAGTATTAAAATTGGATAGCACTATGCATATTTTGTCAATATCTACTGAATACATTTATTTCAGGTTATATATGGTTTAATGGCTTTTTTTTTCGTATATACGTATTTAGAAACAAAAAAGTCTCAAGAGAAGTTAGCCTTCGTGTGCATTATCAGTAATTTAATTCTAGATAATGCAAATTGTACCACAACGTAAACTGCGAGCGGAATTAATTATTATTTACGATGAAGAACGTTAGTCTCGTGCGTCATAAACGATTTAATTTGTTTTTTTTTTATATGTATAAAACAAAAGTAATTGCGATGAATGTTTTTTTAAAATCAAAAAAATACCGTGATGAATAAGAAATAGATGTATTTCAGATCAGTTCGAAACACAAGCACTGTGATAGTGTTTTAAATCTGTTGCATGCGTCCGTCGTTACGACTATTTATTTTCTTTTCATCTCGTCCAGGGGCCTTCAACAATTTTGCAAACTATATACGTCATTTTGATCATAATGTAGGTTTTAACACAATACAGTTTTAACTTCCAGCAAGTTTTATTATAACATTTGGAAAATAATTTTACAATGCTGCGTACATTGAAATCAGTACATTGATCGTTACGTTAGACTTAATTCACGTTCAATGCATAGAACATTGTAAATGTTATCATAAAATGCGTATGTTGATAAGAACACACCACTAATGCGAACCGGTTGTATTTTACTATCTACTTGTTATCACATTCGGTATTCTTTGCGATATCGTGGATAATTGTCTAAAATGAACCGAGTTTCACTTGCAAGAAGAAATAGTCATCTTCATCCATATTTATACGTAGAATGTTCTTCCATTTCCGGCTTTAACGTTTAAAGCACTACCAGCACTAGCATTACTAAATACCACTCAGCTGACCTTTTCTTATCATTGTCCAGTTTTGATTTATCAACTCATCAAACTCGACTGCTATCAGTAACTTTTTCCTTTTCTTTTTCTTTTTTCTTTCTGTTTTTCGGCTGCAACGATTTTATTGGGGTCTTGTTATGTTTCATTTCATTTTTTTTTCTTATTGTTAACTTTGTCTCTTCGCAGAAGAGATTTAAAATAATAATTTTAATGAAAAATCTAATCTGTTTGGCTGTTTTTACATCGGTAAGAATGCAGTGAACAAACCTTGTGTCATCGGATTTGAAATTATGTGATTATGCGATAATAGTGCGTAGTAAGTTAAAAGTGCAATATGTCGTCGTATTTTCGATGGATAAAGAGTGGGAAGAAGGATGATTACTTCGAAGCGAAACCAAGAAGTCGTTCTTTAGACTCGAAGAGTCTCGAGGCATCAGGGATACGATTGATCCTTCAAAATGTACTTGAAATTTGTTTTTTTTTTATTATATAACACGATTTTTCAGTTGTAAATAATATGTCGATGTTTTGCAATAATCATCGTTGCAATGAATATTTCATATGCTGCCGTACAAATGAAAACTCGTCGAAACGGAACATGATAAGTCACGTATTTTCTAATTTTTCCACGTAGGAACATGTTGGCAATTTTAGTTGATCTTAGAACTAAATATAAATTTCTCTAGAATTGAAAATATTGGATAATGATTGATAATATTAATTGAAAATATATATCATCAGCTTCTAAATATTTCGTCAACTAAACAGATTGACATTAAATCTAGAAAATCAGCGAGAATGTATTTAACATGTTCTTTTTCTGTTCTGCGTCCATGCTATTTCAATAAATGCGGGTTCTGGTTGAAATAAATATTTATTACTGTTACAGAGAACTGCAGCTCAACACCAACCTCAGTCTTCACAGAGTAAGTATAAGTGTGTTTTACATTTAACTAGATTTAGAAGCGGGTGTCTGATTATTCCCAGCTACATAAACATTTAAGTAATAAAGAACATACATACGTGTCGAGATAACTGAGATGTGTCTCTCTCTGTGACTGATAACATCTGAAAAACAAAATTATACGCTTTCCAGTTCTTTTTTTTTTTTTACATCGTCGCAACACATGATGTATAATTAACTTTTTTTTTTTTTAAGTTAAATTTAGTTCAAAGAATTTACATATTCTAATATTTATTCTTAATATTTAGAATGTAATAAGAACGTTTCACTTTTTTCATATTGGTCACATCAGATAATGTTGCGTAAATATATATTACAATTTCTCAATATTTCTCAATATTTCTCAATATTGTTGCACAGAAGTGTTCAGATATAAGTATAGAACATAATTTAATTAGAATCAGAAAAAAAGAGATCAATAATCTCGTTATTTACAACTTACAGAAATATTTGAGCGCTCTTCGAAACTTTTTTTAAAAATATATCGCTTGCCTATGAAAAGTTTTGAAATTTTATTAGCGCCACGAGAGACACGGCTACCATAATTATATCGGTAAAGTTTCGATTATTTATATTTTAAAATGATCATGAAACAGTTAATTTGTTTATTACATTAACAAGCTTATATATTTAACACCTGTTACATGTTTACAAGAGTAATTATACAGTATATGTATGTTAGTAGTAAGCTCTTATATAACTCCTATATATATACACATATACACATCTTTATATTGATTTCAAATTTTATCAGTATATCACGACAGTCGAATTTTATATATTGCATCGTTTCAAAAATTTCAAAAATTTCAAGATACATGAAAGTTACCAGTAGTAAATATTGTTTAAATATCCTCGGGGGCTTTGAAACGTTAGGCACCTGGCTTATCGGCGATAAAATATTCTGCGAGAACTTCCGCCACCCCCGCTAGATGTCGCCCTCAAATCGTTTAATATGGCGCGCACATTCCGAAGCATGCTGGGACGGCCGATGCTGGCGGGACTTGCGCCTCAGATGGTTTTTGTACCGCAACGCGTACGGTGGGCACGTGCTTGAAAGTTGCCCGTTTCGTGTTCACTCGCCAGCCTTAACGATCAATGCCCGCGATTCTTTGAAACGGCGTCATTACTGGGATCACCAGTGTTCGTGCACGCGTCACGGGCCGTGCTTAATCTACAATCGGGCACACCGATCAACACGCCGTTGTGCGCGTGAATCGTCGTCCCTCGCAGAAAAGTCGTACGTGCGACATGTAACGTAGGACAAGTATCGTTTCTTTCGAGATTTCTTTCTTCTTTTATTTATTTATTTTCTTTTTTTTTTCACGAAACTTGATTGGCGTTCGAAACGTTTGCCTTTCCGACTTCAATTCTACTTTTACGTGTAGTTTTTTAACGATCGTTGAGAACTTTTACGACGATTGAGAATCGAATGGCTAGTCGAGCGAATTACGTGTCAATAACGGCACGATCTGCGATCGTAAACGTAAACACGGTTCCGCGTTGCGTGCCACTTTGCGACAAACGCCCGTGTTTCGAACCGGCAATCGAGGGTCGGTAGTTTTTGCTTGTTGACACGACTTTCGTCGTTGAGATTTGCTGCGCAAATCAGTCTCCGATGGTGCTTCCAATCGATTTGCACGTACGTGTATACGTGTCCCGATGGACTTTCGAAATCGTCGATGTGTTAATCCCTGTCGATTGCGGACTAACTGTGCAGAAGTGATCGGTGCGGCGATTTCTTTCGTTTCGCAAAAGGGAGATCTTGCTTTTACGCTTGGATAGTGCGCGGTGCAGATGTTTTGTTGGATGTAGTGCGTCGTGAGATTTACAAGTGAAAGAGAAGAATCGGGGGAATCGGTCGCTGCGTTGTAAACGATCCACCCTGCAATAGTTGGTAAGTGTCTTCTTTTCTATTTTTTTATTTTTAATTACGGGGAGACGTGGACGTTTATTCAACAAAAGTGAGCATCTGTGACGCTCACCTTGAGGATTCGAAACTTCTTATCGTTGTCTTATGCACTTATCTCGCACGAACCTCTTGCGCTGGAATGAGTGTCACGCTCGTCGAGAATATTTGTAAATATTTTCTCAGTTTTAAGTATATTAAAATATAACCCAAGCAAAACAAATAGTAATTTCTATCTGGTGATATACCAATTCGAAAAAGAAGGCGAATTATTGTATATGGTTTGGTCACTCGTTATGGTCCGTGAACCATACGAGTGACCAGCGCAAGAGGTTAGAGTTATAAGTTCGTAAAAGTGAACTATAACGGGATATAATGTAGTATCCCGCTTTTCAATTTTATTAAAAATGGAGTTTCGTACGAGGAAGTATTGCGATATATTTTCTCTGGTGATTACTAGGATTACTAGCTTATTATGTACTATATATTATTGCTAGTTGTAACAGTAAAATTAGCGAACCAATAAAAATCTTAGAATTCGGTAAACTCTCGCATTGCTACCAGAAATCTACCAATGTGCTCGGGTATTTATAAGCAGCGTGCAATATATTTTAGATCTAAGATATTTCATTTTCTTTTCTCGTGTTCTCTCTCAGTCATTCTGTCACGTGTGTGGTCACACCAAAATAAATGAATGACGAAAAAGAAACTGACGGCAGGATCGTCTTGCACAGTTAAACTAAAATATTATTAGTAAAGTTTCACGAATTAGAAGCTACAAGTGATCAATGTCAATAAATACTCTTCCATAATGTTAGCAAATTTGATGATAATGTAAATCAAATTTTACAAGTAATATCACAAAATTACTTGAGTTTAGCTCTTGAACCATTGTAAAATTATGATAAGGAAATTTATGACTTATAATTTGTAAGTTGTTGATTGGTTAACATTGCTAGCTAGTGAATTATAGTACAAGTCTGGAGAACTTATTTTCTTTTCTGAGTCACTGATTTAACTCGGCCGTGTAATGTAAATAATCTTTTTTCTTGTCATATTGTATGCTGGTTGCAACGATATTAAGGATATAAATCAAGTTAAAAATACACACTGTGTCACATACATCCAGGGTCATTAATGTTCTTGCAATTTACATTTGTCACTCATCATGAAATTGTGTATATGTACATTTCAAGGTTACATGTGACACGAAGGGTTAAAAATTTGCCTTGAAATTTCTTGCAACGCGTCAAAAGAAAGAAAAAAAAAGGACAGAAAATACGTAATTCCGTTTGAAGCCATAAATATTGAGCTTAAGCAATAAAAACTACAAACACTACAAACAGATTAAGATAATAATATACTCATTAGATAATTCAATCATTCAATGTTTAACTAGGGATTTAAATTTCATTGCAATTTGAAAAAATTTCAAATGAAAAAATTTAAAAATTTGAAGTTTAATTATGATTACTAAACCTTCTAACGTTATAGTAATGTAAATTACCAATTTCCATCGAAATATGAGTGTCATTAATATGTATTTAATATAATACATAATAAATATCAAATAAATGTTAAAATATTTTTAATATAATTAACAAGTTACCAGACAAGTTATAAACTCAGATTGAAAAATTATGAAAACTTTTTAATCGATATAGCACCGAAGTTGGTTTAATTAGTCTCACAATTCAAAGGAAAGTTCATGCAACGCTTACAAAGAAAATGATTATACATTGATATTTTATGAAACGTCTATTAAGTTTTAACTTTAGTTGTAAATTTAGTTGTTACGCTTCTTTTCGAACTTTAAAATTTTTTAGTTGGATTTAATTTTATTGACCATTATAATTAATGTAAGTGTTTATAAAATTTTCTGGTTTAACGCGTGAATAGGTCAGACTATAAGCAAAAGAAATTCTATCTAATGAAAACATGTTCATCCGTGTTAAGTGCTTATGCAAACATATTCAGCAAATTTTGAAATTTAACTCTTTACAAGAATTTCGGTATTTTAGATATTTTAGAGAGAAGATTGGTTTATTTGAGAAATAGAATTTATACGCTAATTTGTAAATTGAAAATTGAAAAAAGAATAATAAATATAAAATCGTATTAATTGGTATATTAATTTTTTTTGTTAAGAAACAGCCGTAGATAATTTCGAAGCGAGAAATATTACATTTGAATACAAAATCCGGAAACTAATAAATTCGAATGCACAGACAAAAATTCCGACGTAAAAATTGAGGAAGATTATCAACCGAGGGAAATTCGAAGATTAAAGAATTAGGATTCAAAAATCTCGAAATTTGAAAATTCTCAAAAAATTCATACACAACATACAATTTCAAAGTTACGAAAGTTTCAAAAATTTCAGACCATTCGACAATTTTACATTTGACGAACGTATTTCTTTAAAAAAGAGGGAGGGGGAGTCGATTGAGAGAGAATTGTCGCGCAGTTATATCACCTGGAAGCTGCGTGACAAAGTTTCAAAATTTAATTGCCAAGCTTACAAAGGGAGTGCTCTCTGTTTTACTGGGTCAAAAGAAGGAAAGTTCGACTTACACAAACAGCGTGCCTCCCGCTGAGGCGATTCTCTCGAGAACCGAACGGCTACCGCGAGCTCTCGCAATTTTGTGTGTGTTCCAAGGAACAATCGCCTTGAACTACAGATGCGACGAAGCCTACAGCTGCGAGAGTCGAGGAGTTGGCACTTTTTGTGTAAGGGAGAAGGGTGGGAATACACTTACACTATTGCACATTGATAACACTTGGAAAACTAGAGTGGCGACACTGGTCAGAGAGATTGTGTGTATGTGTAAGTACGATGTAAATGGTGCGGTGTGTACGTAAGCAGGAGCCAATAGAAGCCGCATTCCTCTATTCTGCCAACTCCTCAGAATCCCGATAGCGGTGTTCCAAGGACAAGGACAAGGTCACACGGCATGAGATCCCTCCTAACCAGGACCCTTTTCTCACGGATTCTTTCTTTTACTTTCCACGTGCTTTTACTTTCCCTCGTTGCTATGACGATGAGGGTAGTTGGCGATGAAGGAATCCGATTCAAATCATTATTACGCAGTGAATCGAGTATTTGACGAGAAGAGGGAAATTAATGGTCGTGCGTGAAGCTATTTTCTTATTAATTATTTCGCTTTCGTTGGCCCTCTTGTGACCTTTGAATCATTTTGAGTATTGTTTCTCTCTCTTTCTCTCTCTTTCCTTCTTTAAATTGGCAAATATACGGGAATCTATAGTTACTAGCACGCGTGATTTTTTTATTTCAACTTTGTGCTAAAGATCTGCTTAAAATCTCCTTTTCTCGATTAAAACGAAAGCGGGATTTGAGGTGTATAAAATTCGAGAATCACAGTAGAATTTAGTTACGAGATGAATGGTTAGATAGGGTTTTTTGATAGTTCTATTTGTTTATTGTGCATAACTTTTTATCCCTAGAAATTAGAATTAAATTTTCGAACTTTATTCAATATTCAGAATTTGATTATTGTTTGACAGTGATTGTTGTTATGTTCGATTATCAAAGTTTGACACACGATATGGACGGAGCTAGGAAATATGAGAATAGTAACAGAGATGAATCGACTGATAGTTATAGATGGTCGTGTGAAGCCTCATTGAAGATTTAATGAAGAATTTGTGCAACCATTCAAAAATTTGGAAATGTTTCACAAGCTACTATTTTTTGAACAACGCGTTTTTCTGTTCCAAACGAAAATCGTTGGCGAAGCGTTGTCCTTGTCTAGATTTCATAAATTTTAATATGCTTTGTAACAATACAGTAGCAAAATAACGCAAGCATGAATAAAGATATTGTCGATATAATATAAATGCGCAGAAAATAAATTTCTATTGTTCAGTGCTACTAATAATTCCGTTTAATATTAATTTATTAATCACGTGTTAATATTAATTTAATATAAGTTCCTTATTCACAGTATTATAATAATTTACGTTATTTCTTCGGATCCCAATTTATTTCCAATTTACTTTTAAAGCGCAATTTTATTCAAGTGTGCGCTATAAATTGTAATAACATAAGCACCTGCGATCAATTAATTTCCTGTCACTTGACTAAAGCATTGTTGTAAAACACTTCCAAAGTCATGAATCATCTGCCACTAAATTTGTGTTTACGACACAAATTTTTCATCGGAAAGCAAATTTTCATTAAATATATTGCACGTCATAAATTACAATAACACGATGTAAAACATACAAAGTGTTCCCAAAAGTGACTGAACAATTACTTCTTATTAAATTCACGTTTACATCCATAATTCGTAATAAAATTCTTTTTATTGAAGGAACTAAAAAAAAAAAAAAAAAAAAAAAGAAAAAAAGTGAAGGGAAATGTGACACGACAATCAATTTCTGACAATACTCTCGATTATTCGCGAAATACGATTTACATACATGCTTTTGGATATGTAGGTCGAATATCCAAGTACTTCTCTTAAGTAGTTGTAGTAAAGACCTCGCCACAGCTGGTTCTGGAAATGCAGCTTGCTGCTGACGGCTCTTCATCGGCCTTGAAGAACCGGTTCCGAGATCCACATGTCGATCGTATCGATGCTCGAAACCGGAAACGCGTGTTTTGGGAGATGGCGAAATATTAAAACGCTTGTTTATAGGCGTCTCGTCATAGAGCGAAACCTCATTTACGGTTATCGTTTCACACATCTCTATTATAGCACGCAATAGTGCTGTGCTTGCCACTGTTTCCTTCAAACCTTTCGATTTTTCGAGGAAAAACATTTGTAGGTACTTGCTCATAAAAGGAATGTTTATCATTAGATTGTTGGTGTAACACACACATATATATATATATATTTTTTTTCAAAATTCATTTTATGTTGATTGGGTTTAAAATTGCGTTTAAAAGTAGAGAAGTAGCGCTGTTGATTTAATGAAAAATTATTCTTTCTAAACAAAGTGAAATAGCAATTTCGGACAAACAA